ATTAAAAAAAAAACCTCTTTGTATATGTAAAATAATAATTAGGACCATTATGAAGAGAAAGTTAATGAAATGGATAATGATAATATTTCTAAATGTGGTTGAAAGGAACTCTTGAAGGAGACTCCACGAGAGGCCACCTCTAAGAATACTGCAGAAGCACAGGCTGGCTCCTGGGGTCTGGAACACTTTTCCCTCATGCCAGTCTCATGTGGAACTGCTCAAATCTGATATGAGTAAAGTTTGCTATAGAATTTCAGTTCTGTGAAAATCCACACCAGTGACAAGGGAAAAGTGCACAGAATAATAGGCAGAGTGCGTAGCTTTAGCAAGTAAAAGGATCGAATGAACCTCCAAAGCAATCATTTCAAAGTCTGACTTCCCTTTTTAATGTGAAAGGGGGCTAATAAAATGTGAAGTCTGAAAAAAATTAATGCATTCACAATGCATCAAAAATATGAATAAAGAAGGACTCACTCATAATCCAGCAACCCAGGGATACCTATCCAGGTATATGCACTATCCCTTGAAAGGTGAAAGAAAGTGAAGTTGCTCAGTCGTGTCCGACCCTTTGCCTCCCTATGAACTGTAGCCCACCAGGTTCCTCTATCCATGGGATTTTCCAGGCAAGAGTACTGGAGTGGGTTGCCATTTCCTGCTCCAGGGGATCTTCCCAACCCAGGGATCAAACCTGGGGCATTGCAGGCAGATGCTTTACTCTCTGAATCACCAGGGAAGCCTTCACTGTCCCTTACTTATATTTAACTAAAAATTCTGTGAAACTTTAAAAAAAAACCACAAAACTATAAATAAATAAACACAAAACAGAGGTATGGAAGAGACTGAAAGCATAATGGAGCACAATGTAGAAGTTTTGCTTAAAAAATTAAAACCACAGCAAAATAAACCACTTCATGCAAAAAGGAAAGCTGCCCAAATGACACAGGAAGACGTCAAAAGCAGCATAACTTAGTAACTTGGGGAATATCTGGAGAAACGAACTATTTCTTCAAAAGACTTCAGATTCAGAACGTTTGACAATTAAGTTTTTCAGATGTTTAAGAAGTAAAATTCCCAAATTATATAAGCAATCTTTGAGCCCAGAAAAGTCGAAAGGGGACACTCCAAATGGTTTCAAAAACTAGAGACTCAAGAAGCTATACAACTAAACTTAATATGGACAATATTATTAGTGTATTCTGATGTATGTGCTGTCAGTATTATTCTATACAAATCACTCATGGAAGTGTCACAGATTTATTATCTTCCTATGTTATTATTAGGTTGGAGAGTGTCTTAACTCTTTCTGATAAGGCTGCTCTCATTCTTGAGAACTGAGTACCACTCAGATGTAAACGGAACTTTCATTAAGGTTCTACACTTTTCAGTTACTAGTGCGTCACCTGCCACATTAAAGAAGGAGACTGTTCAATATGACTTTCACTGAACGACAAATTGGTTCAAATTTATATTCATTCCAAAACTGTTAGTTTCTCTCTCATAATAATAGAAATCTAGTGGGTTTTTTTCTTTCTCTTTTATTATCAAAAGTTCTGAGTGTCCAGTTAAAATATTTAGTTTTATCTTGATTGATCAAGATTGCAAATCCTAAAGGAAATCAATCTTGAATATTCATTGGAGGGACTGATACTGAAGCTGAAGCTACAATACCTTGGCCACCATTAGGAAGAGCCGACTCATTGGAAAAGACCCTGATGGTGGGAAAGATAGAAGGCAGAAGAGAATGACAAAGGATGAGAGGTTGGATGGCATCACCAATTCAATGAACACGAGTCTGAACAAACTCCGGGAGATAGTGAAGGACAGAGAAGCCTGGTATGATGCAGTCCATGGGGTTGCAATGAGATGTATACAACTTAATCACCAAACAACAACAACAAAAAAATCAAGATGATTGCATCTTTTCCCATTTCTTTCTCTTTTAAATCAAACTGTTTCACAAAATTTCCTACATACTTCATGATGACTTTCTTTAGTTATATGACAATTACCTAGAGAACAGAGATTGTTTGTCTCCTTCCAAGTGTTAGTTACCTAACTGAAATATCATTTCCTCCCAGTAGGTGTAATATGCCATCCGGATTTCACTATGCTAATAATCTTAAAATGTTTAGCAGAAGAAATAATTCTAGTGTAGTCACTTAAAAGTTAGCCATAATGCTAGGCAAAATTAAAGTCCTTTGTAAAAAGTATATAGTCTCTGAGTACTTTAGGGAAAATATTATAGTGGATGAAATTATCTAACCCTCAAAAATTTCTGGAAGATTAGATGTATTTTGGTTCAAAAATCCCTTTATAAAATTAATATTCTAGTTTCAAAATTTTAAATAATCTTATCTCTGTGCATATAATAAATATTTAGTCTATTAAGGCTTCAATGGTATGATAATATATGCTCTTTGAAATCTAGAGATGAAAGGCATTCAGCAGAGCAAATTACTATTTTTTATTATTTTGGGCATATAATGTAGCTACTACTACTCTATTAAGAGTGTTTTGAGACATCAAAAATAAAATTTGAAAATTAGAAGTTACATTGAAGAGTTAAGTTCTTTTTTCTTTATTTTTTTCCATCTATCTATAACTCTTGGAGATCATTCTAAGCCAGTACATACAGGTGTACTCATTCTTTTTAATGATTGCTTAGCATTACTCCATAGCATGGAGTAGTCACTAATGAACACTTTGTATTTTTCACTATTACAAATAATGCTGCAGTGAACAAAAGTATGTATATATGTTTCTTATACATGTGAGTACTTCTTCCAAAGAAGTTTCTAGAAGTAGAATTGCTGTTCAAAGGACATATGAATTTTTCTCTTGATAGATATTGCCAAATGGTTTATAAAAGGCTATGCAAAAGTAAATAACATGAAAGCTCAATAAAATGTAAAAGATATTAAATTCACGCTGGGAGACATGGCATGATAAATGAGATTTGCTTGAAGATACTTCAGCAAAAAACATGAAGGAATAGGCACAAAAGTTGCAAAATTTTGAGAGTTGTTAAATCTGGGTGATAGGTATATGGAAGTTTATTCTATTACTCCTGTGTGTGTTTGAAATTTTTCATGATGGCTTTCTTTAATTCTATACACACTGCTCCTTCAGAAAATGTCTCAATTTCCATTTCATCAGATGCTAAATAGACACCGAGACAGGGCTTGCTTACCTGGGCCAGCCTCCATTCATTTCCTAGTCTAGATGGAGTCCAGCCAAAACCCATTATAAAACTAACATTTCAGTTAATTCACTGGTACCTAAATCTTTGTTCCTCTTGGTACAATAAGTTTGTTTAAGGGTAATTCCTTGCTCATTCTGATTTTTTTTCAGAAAGGTAAAACCTGGGGAAATTCCCTAGGGTAGGAAATGGCAACCCACTCCGGTATTCTTGCCTGGGAAATCCCATGGACAGAGGGCTTGGAGGGCTGCCGTCCATGGAATCTCACAGAGTCACACGTGACTGAGTGATCGAGCAAGAATACGAACCCAGGTGCATTCTGCCCAGCAGCGGGCAAGGCGCCTTTCCCACCACACACACTTTAACCAACACTGGGCTGTTGTCTTTTAAAACAATCTCTTATAAGTGTGATGTAGAAAGATAAATAGGGTTGAACCTGGCTTGGTCAAGGGGGAGGTCCTTTAAGGCAACAGAAACAGCACCAAAGGTACAGAGGTAGGAAAATGATCTTATTTCTCTAGTCCTGTGTTACCAGAGTTCACTCATTTAGCAAATATTTATTTGCCCAGAGCCTCTGTATTTAAATAGATATTAATGGCATTAGTTAAAAATATATTTGTAGCTTACAAAATAAATGAGTCACAGGATGAAATGTACAGCGTAGGGGAAAACAGTCAATAACAATGTAATGTGTTTGCATGGTGACAGATGGTAGCTAGACTTGCCGTGGTGATCATTTTGTAATGGATAGAAATATCAAATTGCTATGTTATACACCAGGAACTAACAGTGTTATAGGTCAACCCATTAAACTTTAAAAAACCCCAAACAAACAAACTCATAGGAAAAGAGATCAGATTTGTGGTGGCCAAAAGTAGGGGGTGGGGGAAGGAGAACTGGATAAAGGTGGTCAAAGGGTACAAACTTCCAGCGATAAGATAAATAACTACTAGGGATATCATACACATCATGATTAAGACAGTTAACACTGCTGTATGTTATATATGAAGGTGGTTAAGAGTAAATTCTAAGTTCTTATCACAGGAAAAATTTTTTTCTTTCTCTTATTTTTTTAGCTACATAAGGTGATGGATGTTCATTAAACACATCATGGTAATTATTTCATGATATTCATAAGTCAAATCATGTTGCTGTACGCCTTACAGATTATGTCAACTGTATGTCAGCTGTATGTCAACTGTATCTCAATAAAACTGGGAGAAAAAGTATACTGGTAACTAATCGAAGCTTTATTCCTTATAAGGTAAGAAGAAACGAGGGCGAGTGCTTCTTTTAAAAGTTGGCAGTTTTCCAAGAAGGAGATTACCCTTCTGCAGACTTTCTAGAGTATCTAGAATTTCGCAGAGTCCAGCCTACATCTTCCCTCTCTCTTCCAGGCCTCCCTCAGTGCACTCTGGCCACTAAAACTTTGGCGACAAAATATTTCTCAACACATTATCAAGATCGGTGACATCCAATATTTTCCTGGATCTCGTTACACTTTAGGGCACTGTCACAGTGGATAGCTCTTTCTGCAGCAGCAGATCCTCTAGCAAACTCTTCTGAAGAATTAAAAAGCAAGCTCCTCTTTCCAAAGACAGAAGAAGACACCTTCATTTTCCAGTGGGGCTGAAATTCAGAATCCTGTTCTCCAGAAGCCATAATGTTTACCACCAGGCGAGCGTAAAGCCCGTTCCAGGCGAACTGGAGAGAAAGGACCTTTGCCTTCCGTGCCGCCTGCAGCTAAATGAGCCCAGCTCTGCAAAGCCTCCTTGCCCTGCTTTTAAAAGCCAGTCCTCACCTCTAAGGAGCTGCTTGGCTGGGCGTAGTACTCTGGCTGCTTCAACCTGCTGGGCAGCCGGCACATTTGAACAGGAATGACTGGAAAGGAGGAGGGGGGAGCAGGGATCGCCTAGACAAAGAGCCCGAGCGGGGACGGGGGCGTTCTCCGCCGCAGCATCTCCCTGCGGTGTCTCCGCCGGCACCTGTCGGCTTACCTGCACTGCGCGCGGGCCGGGGAGCGCTGCACCGCGGACCTCCCGCGCCTGCGCCCAGGCTGACCGGCAGCGCTCGAAGGGCCGCCACAAGCGAAAACCAAAGCTTAAAATCGGCATTTATCCTCACATTTTTAGCTGTGAAGTCGTTTTCAAGAAATTAACCTTCTTCTCCTTGAAGACGAAGAAAATGTAGTCATCCCTTCCCTTAAAAGCCAGAATCAAGAAAAACAGGGATTCTAAAAGGAAAAAATATACCTCTGACTCCAGAAGTACGTAAATAAGGATGGATAAATACAGAGCACTGCGGTACCTGCTCTTCATTTACATGCTTTACCATGTACCATTCTTCTACAAGCCGTGTTTTCATGTCTTAGCAGGCTCTCATCCTTTGGGGAAAGATGCTCTTACAGGAATGTAAAGTATATATATATGCTCCATATTATCTTACATTGCTGCAATATAGGGCATATATAATAGTATATAACATTCACGTAAATGTATATACATAAGGACAGAGATATAGTGCCCTCTACTGGATCAAATTCAGCTAGGTTAACCCCTCCCTTGAAATAGTTAGTGTAACTTTCCTCCAAGCGACTATCGACACCAGAATATAAAGCCTAATGTTGGTGATTCTTCGTGTCTGGCAGCTTCTCCCTGGCTTATACTAGCAACAAGCAAACTGCCTTTACACATGCTACTTGTCTTAACGATGCTTGCTGACTAGGCCTTGTTTCCCGGTGGCTTAGGTTCACAAAGGTTATTCAAATTTATGCTAAAGGTGCCCTTGGGTCTCTGTCTCTGATGTTTGCAGGACAGTGCCCAACACAAAGGGGAAATCTGACTGATGAATTGATTTGAGTCATCTAAGCAACTAATCCAGGCTCTGTAAGTCTCAAACCAAATAAAAGCTTTCTTTAGTCTGTGCTACTTGAACTAATCAGATGTAACTTTAAGAACCAGACAGGTATGGGTTCAAGCACAGTGTCCATGTCCAAAATGTTGGATGGTGGGGAGGGATAAACGGGAGGTTGGGATGGACATATACACACTCCAAAATACAAAATAGATAACAGGACCCACTGTATAGAACAGGGAACTCTGCTCAATATTCTGTAATGACTTCTACTGGAATAGAATCTAAAAAGAGTGGGAAAAGATAAATGTTTTTAAAAGTTGAACGACTCAAGACATTGGGCAAATTGAGAAGTACTGGTTTAAAAGCAACATTATCCAGACAGCTTAGATAATACAGAAATCGTCATTTTGAATAATTTGTCCTTGAGTAGCACAGAGACCCCGTGGGAAGACACATCTGCTCTTGAAAACTGGTGATCCAATCTCTCATACAGATTTTTGAAAATTGAGACTAATGATGGATTTAGAAGTTTGTGGACCATGATTAAAAATAACAGAAAGAGTATTTTAAAATAAGAATAGTTTCAAAAACTCCACAATTTAACACACGTGCAACATTGAGGAGCAGCTGGAAGGCAGAGGATTCTTAAAACACAGGGACTACGATTGCCCTGTAAGAGTCGCCACTGCCAGCATTTCTTTTTCTGGAGGAGACCCTTGTCCTGGCCTGAATCTCATCTCCTGGTCACTGAGGGCAAAGCTCCACATGGTCAACCTTCCACAGATATTCAGAAGCTGGACAGAGCTTGTTATGGAAGTTCACAAGCCAGCCAGAATAAGCTAGCTGGGAAACTAGATGCAGGAGAAACCACGTTGGGAAAGATTGAAGGCAAAGGAGAAGGGCATGCAGAGGAAAAGATGCCCATCGCTGACTCAGTGGGCATGAATCTGTGCAGACTCCAGGAGACAGTGGGGGAAAGGGGAGCCTGGCGTGAGGCAGTCCATGGGGTTGCAGAGTCGGACACGACTTATTGACGAACACCACCACCATCGCCAGGCGGATGGCTTTCAACCTCTACTGCCCAGAAACAGGGGAGAGGACCTATCAGTAACGTGGAGGAGAGCTTCGAGGACTGGTCCTGAAAGAAGAACTGTGGCTGGCGGTGAGGTCACCCCTATCCACCCAGGTTTCCCAGGGAGGCTCAGGCAGCCACATGGGCTATTTTAGCTTTACTCCAACCATCACATGGAAGTGTTTACTCTCCCAGGAAACTCAGTTCTGTCCAAGGTCAGAAATGGTGAGGACAGGCGAAGAACCCCCTCCCAGCGTTGTGTTCTCACCCTCCCGTAAGTATAGGGATCCCCTAGTGGGCTGGTGGAAAATCTGGAGTCCACAGCTGCCCCCGGAAACTCTGGTCTAGAGTCTGGAGAAACACCCAAGACTCTGCACTTTAGCAAGCAGCCCCGGTGACTCCAGTACAGGCAGTCCCGGGACCACACGTTAGAAACACTGCCAGAGGAAGTGAGGAAACATATAGTTAGCCAAATGCACTGGCATCTTAAGACCTTCTGTTTATGAGCATCCATCTTTTAATGAGATCCTCGTGGAATAAGAACCCCCTTGTACTCATTTTTGTCCTTACATAAGCAGTATTATAATAAATGTAGCAATTACTTTGAGATTCAACCTTATGACAGTACACACAAGCGTGTGGACACCCCTGAAACCCTCCTGAGCCCTAGACTAGCCCCTTTTATTTTATGCACCAGTTTCAGGAGCTGGGTTTTCTGCTCCTTTCTTAAAACTGTCTCCACCTATTCCTTCTGACCAGTCTTCTCCCGACAGTGCTGCAGAGAAAGAAAGCATGTGGGTCCTCCCCACTGGATAATGTCCCTGAAAAAGTCCACAAGACATTGCAGGCTTTCCTTGAAGGTCTATAGCAAGTAACACTGAGGAAAAGATAAGGGGGGGTAAACATGGACATACAACTAGAGAGAAATCTGTTTCATATAAATTTACCCCCAAGTTCAGCTTTTCTCTCTATCAGCTGTTGACTCTGTGATGGCACACTCCCTCTTTTACCCTGTCCTTCTTCCCTTCCTCCCTCCCCGCCTCGCTTCTTTCCGTCTTCCTCCCTCCGTCCCCCTCTCCCTGGCTCCAGCTTTTACAGAGCGGCACTCTGGACTCCAGCGCACACTGCGCACGCACTCACAGATGCATCAGAGTGCTGGGACCACAGCAAAGAATGGAGGTTTCCAAGCGAGGCTTCACCGAGAGCCAGCGGAGAGGAGACTGGAAGAAAGGACGATCGACTGAGCAGATTGTTAGGAAAATAAACTCCCTTCAGAGGAGGGGAGAGCCCCACACCAAGCCACAGAGAATAAAGCGTGTCCTCTTCTGAGAAGGAGTTCCGGGAAATTAGACTGGACTGGTAGGCAGGACCAACTCAGGAACGACCGTGTGGGTCAGAGAGTGACCATCTTATAAACCAAGTAGAAATGACCACTGAGACTTTCAAAAGTTACAATACTCACAATTTTATCAGCCTAAAGTTTAGTAAATTTTAATTTATATTTGAAACACAGACAATACTCAAAATATCTATACACATTCTGGCCATATAATCTGAAGCATCCTATCACTCAGCATCATCCCAGCTTGGATATGAGTCATTTCCTCACTACAAATCTGTTTTCTTTATTAAAGCATTTCTGTTAAAAGTCTTTGGAAATGTGAATAAATCATTTATGGCTATTAAAAAATTTAAGGTCCATCCCAAGTTAGTAGAAAGAAGAGATGGGCCTCATAATTATTACTCCAGTATAGCAGACATAAACCTAGTGTGTCCAGGACAATCCAGAAAGATGACCACTCTAACCACAGGGTGTCCTGGCTCCGGTGGACGGTTCCTTTACTCATATCTTTCTCTTCTTGGTGAGAAAGTCTTCATCTTAAGAGCTTCACTCACTTTAGAATTTAAACACTGTGAGTCCAACTACTTGGGGGCAAAACCCAGATGCACTAAGTTCTTTTCTTCACAAAGGAAAACTCTCCCAGGTAGTTCCTCAATTTAAAAAGCAATAGCTTCTTGAAAGTCATACAGATGGCCAACAGGTACATGAAAAGAACTTCAATGTCACTCATTATTAGAGAAATGCAAATCAGAACTAAATGAGACATCGCCTCACACCAGCCAGAATGGCTATCATCAGAAAACTCACAAACAGTGAAGAGCGTGTGGAGAGAAAGGAACCCTCTTACATTGTTGGTGGGAATGTAAATTGGTACAGCCACTATGGAGAACAGTATGGAGGGTCTTTTAAAGGCTAAAAGCAGTGCTACCACATGACCCAGCAATCCCACTCCTGGGCATATATCTGGAGAAAAACAACCGGAAATGATACATGCAGCCCAGTGTTCATTGCAGCACTGTTTACAATGGCCAAAACATGGAAGCAACCTAAATGTCCATTGACACAGGGATGGATAGAGAAGATGTGGTCCACATACACACGCACACACACATGAACACACACGCATACACGCACACGTGCACACAGATGCATGCACACACACATGCACACACAACACATGCACACAGAGATGCACACATGCACACACATGCATGCACACGCACACACACATGTGCGCTCACGCACACACGTGCACACATGTGCATGCAAACATGCACGTGCACACACACATGTGCACGCATGCACACCCGCACAGACACGCATGTGCACATGCGCATGCACACGCAACGCACGCGCATGCACGCACGCACAACACATGCATGCACACACGCACACATACACACACGCATGCGCACACACACGCACACACAATGGAATATACTCAGCCATTAAAAAGAATGAAATAATGCCATTTGCAGCAGCACAGATAGACCTAGAGTCTCGTACTGAGTGAAGGAAGTCAGACAGAGGAGAAATATGACCTCCCTTACATGTGGACTCTAAAAAGAAATTATACAAATGAACTTTTACAAAACAGAAAGAGACTCACAGACTTAGAGAATGAGCCGATGGTTGCCGGGGAGGAAGGGATGGTTAGGGAGTTTCAGATGGACATGCACACACGGCTGTGTTTACAATGGATCACCAACAAGGCCTGCTGTAGAGCGCGGGGACCTCTGCTCCGTGTTACGTGGCGGCCGGGATAAGAGGGGGGGGGTGGGGGAGAATGGATACGTGGGTGTATATGGCCGAGTCCCTTCACTGTTCTCCTGAAACTATCACAGCATTGTTACTTGGCTATACCCCCAAAACAAACAAACAAAAAAGCTCAGAACAAAATAGTAGCTTCTTGAAAGGCAAGATGTAATCTTTCAAGATATTGTTTATGATACTGACCACAATGCTTGCTTGAGCAACCTTTTGTTTTTTTTCATCTTCAGTGTTAAGCAATGAAAGGGACTGAGTTACTATGATCTTAAAGGCACAATGTGTGTTGTGATTTTTTTAGGTACAAGGAAATGCTGGTATGTTTATGAAAAGGTTCTGCACTTTGTATTAAGTTCTACAGTAGATTGTCAGGGGCCCTGATAGGGACTCACCTAAAGTCATCAGCATCACCAAGGGAGCCAGTGGAAGGGTCCGTTCCTAGCTCTTCTGGCTGGGAAAGGGGGCTTTGAGTCATTCCGGGCTGGAAGAGGACCTTCCAGCTGCCTAATGTGCCCAGTCATTTTTCTGCTTGTGAACAAAAACTTCACAAATGAAACAAGTATTTGGGTTTGCTCCGGGAGTTAGAGTGAAATATCTTTATCCGAGCCCTAAGGAATCTCCGTAGTGGACATACTCTGATGGCGTTTCCCTTCTGAAGCTCTTAATCCTGCTACCGGGGAGGCCAGATGTAGCCTAAATGGACCACATTCGCCAGAGCCCGCTCAGGGCCATGTCAGGAAGGGGTTCAGCTCTGGTAATGAGAATTGCAACTGCCTCTGGATCTCTCTACAAAGGTGACTCAGTCCTGCTCTGACAAGTCATGTCTGTGCAGCCCTTCCTGAGAGGTGCTCTGGAAACCAGGGGATCTTGTTCACATGCACTCACTAGGTCTGGGATGGGGCCTGAGCGTCTCCAACAGGTTTCTCAGTGAGGGCTGTGCTGTGGGCCCACAGGCCACACTTGGGGCCCCAGGGCTTTAGAACACACTCAGAAACAGAGACGGCAGTGTTTCTGAGATGTGTCGGTGCTGACAGAGACGTCAAGCCAGGAGAGTTAAGAGGTTGAATCATCCTGGAGTACCCGAGGCGTGTGGTGATCTCCTTTTGTCCCCAGCATCTCTCAGGCTCGAGGGGTAAAGAGTCCGCCTGCCGATGCAGGGGATGCAGGTTCGATCCCTGGGTTGGAAAGATCCCCGGGAGAAGGGAATGGCAATCCACTCCAACATTCTTGCCTGGAAGATCCCATGGACAGAGGAGCCTGGAGGGCTACAGTCCATGGGGTCACAAAGAGTCAAGACACAGCTGAGCATGCATGCCACTCTCTTAGAACCATGAGTGGGTTACAGGTCCTCATAGTTTCCTACACAATTGTTCAGGCAAGTCTTATTTTGGATTCTCAGCAAGCCTACCCATAAGCAAACTGATAGAACAGGCGTTCTCTTGGAGCGCTGAACTTGCTCATCCTGGGCACCCTTGTCTCATGGTGCCCCTCCCCTCCTCTGCATCATCCGTGCCCCCCAGCCCTGCCCCCGTCCTTTATCTGCATCCTCTCCAATCCCGATCCCTGACCCCCCTCCCCACAAAAACATCTTTCAGGAGGAAAATCTAACTCACTCACATGTCAATAGTGACAGCATGGGGAGATGTTAGCTAAGTCAAGAGCACGTCTCTCTAGTGGTAGAACTTCCAAACCCCAACCAGAGGGGAGCAGAGGCCTGGGGAATGTCCATCCCAGCGTCCCTCGGTCTCCCTCTAGACCCTCCTGTGGTGTAGAATCCCTCACACCTACCCAGAAGAAGCCTCTGCCCCAGAGTGTCCTAGAACCTGGCCTTGGGTCACCATGGTCCAAGCAGACCCAGGCCAACTCAGGGTCGGTTTTATGAGGGCATCTAATGCCTTGTTGGATATTGTATTTCTGTTCACTGTTGTTCGTTCAGGATGTCATGTCCAACTCTTTGAGACCCCATGGACTGCAGCACGCCAGGCTTCCCTGTGTTTCACTATCTCCCAGAGTTTGCTCAGACTCATGTCTGTTGAGTCAGTAATGCCATCCAACCATCGCATCCTCTGTTGCCCCCTTCTCCTCCTGCCCTCAATCTTTCCCAGCATCAGGGTCTTTTCCAGGGTCTATGCCTGTCATTCAACCCAAATACCTAAATGGGAATTTTCAATCTCAAATGTGTTTACTTATGTTTACCAAGTTGCCTGGGTGCAGTTACAAAATCCCTCTAGGTGAAATCTTCTGACTCGAGGACGTCAGATTTTGCTACGACCGAAAGGAGGGCCCTCTGCTTATTCTTCATCTTTAAGTGCTTGACTTTTGTCAGAGGTGTGCAGGCTTGGGGAAGCAGGGACACCGGGCTTCCCTCTGGTTCCTCACCTCCCTTCTCCCCGTGTCCTACAGAGCACTCCTCCGACTCAGCTCAGTGGAAAATTACAGCTATTCTCGCGTCACGTGGGCTGGATCTCTGGAGTTAACTCGCTGGGGCTGAGTCACTGGGACCAAACTAAAGATGCTTCTTGCCATAGGTTGCCCAAGCTGTCTACGATGTCTTTTATGAAGCCAAGAAAATATTGAATTAGGATACACAAGGACTGTGGATGCAGATGTTCAGCCAGTAGAAAGGTCGGTAATGGGAAACAGAGCTGACCTCTTGCAGCAAAGCGAGGAAGTGGCAGGGGAATGTGAGGGGCAGCTGCTCGCCGTCGGCAACTGCCTCGAAGGGCAGTGCTGCGGAATGTCAGCAAACGGCATATTTCACGGCCGCTTCGCCACTGCCCTTGAATGATTCAGGAGCAGAGCCATCTTTAACGGCGCTTGGCGTGCTGTCTGGTTAAAAGGCAAATAAAGTGTCCTCATTTCAGCAGCCTTTCCAGAGAAAGAGCTGATGGTCAGACTGTGTCCTTCTCATGGGTCACTGGAAAAATCAGTTTATCTAGAAGCAGCACGGGCACACTCCCCTCCTCCACCTTTGCCTGTGAAATAATCTCCCACTTGGCTTTGAGAACACCTACTAGGCTATTTTTAGATCTCATTTCCACCGTGGCATCTAAATACTCTAACTAATATGGATCATAATTCGAGGCTATAACACCAAGTTAAAGCTGAGAGAATTTCTACAGCCAAAGCCCTAACTAGAGCTTTCCTAACTTAAAAGAGAATAAACTTGATTGTCGTTCACTGTAACATATTCATTTAAAATGAGCTCTGTCCTTAAAAGTGTCCTCCCCACAGAAGTCACGAAGATGTCACAAGTCATAAAGACATTTCCTCCTAGTTCAACGTGGTCTGCGTAGCGCGAATAAAGAGGATTTAGTGATTAGTCATATCTGATCAAACTCCAACCAAACCAACTGATGAGCTGTTAAGTAAGTCAGTCATAAGGTATAACACTTATAACTTTGACTTAATGTCAACTAGACCTGAGTTCCACAGAAGAATCTCAAGGTGTCTTTAACTGATGGCATTTATGTCAATGCAATGCAACACAATGCATAAAACGTGTTATGGGAAGTGCATTGTGTTGTGTAAAATCACTTATGTTCATGCAAGATGCTGTGATCTTGAGACAATTGGCTTGTCAATATCAATTCTGAAGTGCATCACAAATAATCTGTCACATTTAATTATTAAAGTAGCTGGGTTTTTAAGTAATTTGCCTTTTATATTGGCCATGTTTATAAATTACCACTTGTGTGTGTGTGCGTGCATGTGTGTGTGCGTGCATGTGTGTGTGTGTGTGTGTGTATCCCTAATGCCACTACTTCCATACACATCTCCTTCGAATTGCTCAAAAAAGAGAGAGAAAAGAGTGATATTGGAGAAATAACTATTGAGTCAAAACGGAATATAACCAATGGTCAGTAACCATTGTAATTGCCTCCAATAATACTTTCAAATGAGCTCCTCTAATTATCATCTCATCCAGGAGGCCATCTCCCCGCTGCTGGTCCTTGCTGGTGAGTCCGGAAGGAAAGCATCTCCCAGCTGCTCTCACAGACCCCGCATCTGAGGGAGGCGCCCACCGCAGGCTCAAAGCGCTGCCCGCCACTGCCGGGCACGCAGAAGGGAAGGAAGCCCTTCAGGAAAGAGACAGTCGTCCCCATAACTACCGACAGAGGCCACGCTGCCTTCCAAACCTTGCCCACCCAGATGATAATCTGTAAAACTCAAACATCTGAGTCGTGGAGATGATTGGCTCCCACCAAAGCTGAATTAAAGCAGTGATGGACACAACTTCTGAAATAGTCCAGATTGAACCCCCAGTGAGACTTTAGAAGTCTGGGAAGACGGAACAAGATCAACAGGGGAACCATAAGACAACTGGAACAAACTCTTGGGAATACAGAATGAAAACCAGATGGTATGATTCCCCACCTAGAAGAATCATAAAGGCTAGCTGGGAAAAACTTTCTAAAGTCATGTGTTTTGGCAAATTGTTGAGTAGAGGTGGTTATAGAGCTTTTGAAATCTCCCTGAATCGCACCTCCCCACCACAAGGATCACATAACAAAGAAGACAGGGATAACGTCTGCAACAAAACTAGATGATATGATATGCCCAAGAACCTCCAACAGGAGTCAGTGGGAACAAATAGGGCTGCAAGATCCCTGTGGCGTCAGCAACTGTGCAGAAGGACCCAGGGAGGGAACAGGTGTCTGCCAGCCTCAGGACAGAAGAACGCCACCGCAGTCACCAAGAACTTCCATCATTCACACTGACCTTCAAACAAAGTCTGCAGAGAAGCTGTTGTGTACATTTGAGAACTCTGGTATGTGTTCCCATGATCCTTCCCTAGAAACACACAGGAGAATGAGCTACAATCAACCAAAATGACTCAAGAGACCTTGACAATGGGACTGGAAAGGATACAGGCAACAGAGGAACACGGTAAATGACACCATTGGATTCAAACATAAAAATCAATATATGGGGAACTCTATAGAAAAGGGGGTGAATTTGTCAATAGCAACAAACAAAAAAAGATGTGGGGATGAACCTAAGGATTAAAAAACACCAAATAATCACCATGTGTTGAAATTGCATGTGTGCTAAGTCACTTCAGTCATGTTTAACTGTTTGCGACCACATGGACTGTAGCCCGCCAGGCTCCTCTGTCCATGGGATTCTCCAGGCAAGAACACTGGAGTGGGTTGCCATGCCCTTTCCCAGGGGATCTTCCTGACCCAGCGATCGAACCCACGTCTCCTGCATCTCTTGGATTGCAGGTGGATTCTTTACACACTGAGCCACTTGGGTCCTGTGTATGTTTGGAATTTTCTGCTAAAAGCTACCAGAAAAACAAAAATGGATAAATTCTTAAAAATCAGAGACAAATACCAATCCACAAATTATCATTTGGGTAATATTATGAGAAAGGGAGGCAGCCATCTTAGTAGCAGCAAAAATATATATATATAAAACATCTAGAAATTAACTTAAGAAGTAGAAAAGACCTATAAGGGAAAAACATAGAAGAGCTTAATCAATAAAGAGACATTTTAAGCTCCAAATGGAAAGTCACCATTTAAAGATTTTTCCACAAATATATCTATAAATTTAATACAACTCCAATCAATATTTAACTAGATTTTTTGAACTGGACCAATTAGTTATAAAGTTCACCTATAAAATAAAAGATAAAATGAGGAGAAATTTTTGGAAAAGAATTAAGAGAGAATATTTGACTTACCAGTTAACGAAATGCATTGCAATATTGGAGAAATTTGAGTGGTGCTGTGCTGTTTTGGCCTAGACAAATCAATCAGTGAAACAGAACAGAGATTTTGGAAAGAGACACGGTCATTTATAAGAATTTATTATAGGGTAAAGTGGCATTTCAAATCAGTGGAAAAAGGATGGATTATTCAATAAGCCCTGTTGGTACCACTGGATCTCCTTTTGAGAAAGAAATAATGTTAAATTCAATCCTCTGCAAAAATAATTTCCAGACATTAAATATACAAATATAAAAGTTAAAACTCGCAAAATATGAGAAATTATTTTTATACTTCTAAAAGATAGAAAGCTTTTCTCATCAAGACACTCTACAGCTTTAAGATTCTATGTACCGACATAGAAAGAACTCCAAAATGTACCTTCTGTGTATAAAAAGAGGAAAAATAGACATGTATATTATCTATATTTGTTTGGTTCTATGTGTGCTAAATCACTCAGTCATGTCCGACTCTTTGCAACCCAATGAACTATAGCCCTCCTCTGTCCTTGGAATTTTCCAGGCAAGAACACTGGAGTGGGTTGCCCTTTCCTATTCCAGGAGATCTTCCCGACTCAGAGATCAAAACTGGATCTCCTGCATTGTCAGGTGGATTTTTTATCACTATATCACCCAGGAAGCCCATTCATTTCTATCCACAAAAATAAACTCCAGAAAAATACATAAGGCACTGATAATAGTATCTGTCACAACTGAGGACCATGGGTTCTGAACAGGAGACGGCAAGAAAGATTTTCCACTGTACAACTTCATTTTGTTTTTAATTTTTGAATTCCGTCAATGTATTGCTCATCTCAAAAATTAGAGAAATAAATGCATGAAAAAATATTTTCATAACATATTATAAACAAATTGAATAAACAAATGACAGAGGAGAAAATGTCACCTAGAAAAGAGTTTAATTCAATATACATAGATCTCTCTGTACTAAAGAAGAGAAAAAATGAACACCTGAATAGAAGAAAAAAAAAACAAGCAAAATGTACAAACAATGTATTCTCCAAAAAATAAACCAAACAACGCTCAAAGCCTTAGAGAACTTGAATTCAGATAGGTATTTTTGCATTTCAAATCAGCAAGGAACACCTGGTCTAAGCTCTGGAAACAGCTGGAGCCCCGTACATTCCCCAAATTCCTTCTTGTCTTCTGTCCATGCATTCTTTACACCGTGGCCCTCTGCTTTAGGAATGTAGATCTGATCATGTGCCTCCTCTGATTAAATTCCTCCATTGTTCTTAGAGTAGAATCCAGACTTACTACCAGGCCCTGCCATAGCTGGCCCCCGCCTGCCGCCAAACTGCTGTGCTTGGAGATGATTCAAAGGATGTGGTAGTTCTGTATGTATTGATAGAGAGATTGGTTTGTGCTGTTTTCAAGTTTTAAAAGTAGGTTACTTTTGGAGAAGTCTCTTGAGAGTCCCTTGGACTGCAAGGAGATCCAATTGGTCCATCCTAAAGGAAATCAGACCTGAATATTCATTGGAAGGACTGATACTGAAGCTGAAGCTCCGATACTTTGGCCACCTGATGCGAAGAGCTGACTCATTTGAAAAGACTCTGATGCTGGGAAAGACTGTGAAGGCGGGAGGAGAAGGGGATGGCAGAGGATGAGATGGCTGGATGGCATCACTGACTTGATGGACATGAGTTTGAGCAAGCTCCGGGAGTTGATGATGGACAGGGAAGCCTGGCGTGCTGCGGTCCATGGGGTCACAGAGTCCGACATGACTGAGAGACTGAACTGAACTGAACAGGATGATCCCACTGGAAAAAAGATTTAGATAGATAGATAATGTATAATATGTTATATGATAGATAATGTATATGTTATATGGTAGATAATGTATAGTATATTATATATTTTATATGTTGCGTATTATATTTTACGCTATATGCTATTACATAGTATATAATATGTATCTGAGAGTCTCCAAACTGTTAATTGTGTTTTCTTTGTGGATGTGTTTCTGTAGCGGGAAATCATTTTCCTTCAT